CTTCATGTGCAAGTAAATACAAGCAGGGGTGGACTCTCCGAAGGTGTAAAGGAATCAGCACAGCTCCACTGAGGCCAAAGCAGGCATTATTGAGACCCACTCTTTACTATTGCGCTTGACTGTTCCCATTTCAGCGTCTGTCCCAGGTGGCAGTGCTTAGTCTTTGGCAGAGAAAAGGCTTTTAAATTATACAGGCCACATCCCTCCTTAACTGCAGTTCAGCAGCTGATCAGTGAAAACCTGCGCTCTGGTAAAATACCAGGTTCCCATAATACTAAGCAGCAATTAAACCACAGCCATCTGATTATCCAAGGCCGTGCCTTTGTTTTGGCCAGTGGAAAGCAGGTGTAAAACGCAACCAAATCAGGGCGGCGCCATTCAAACACCCCCTCTACATCAGTGCAAATCACTGCTCCAGGTGCAGGGCAATGAGGCCTTGAGAGGTTAGGAAGGTGGGGTTGTCTAAGGGCAATTCTGCGCTGCCACAAGTGAGATGTGGCCTCTCTTTCCACATGCCAAAGCAGATGTAGAAGTATGTGGCGCTCATTCTTTCCTCCCAGGGCACATCTACACATGAATGCACCTTAGGTACTGCACTTTTAGCTTAGCACTTAATAAAGCATTAACTCAATGCGCAGCACCTAGAGTTACTGCACAGTAGCACCAGCGCACAGTTTAGTGACGCTTACTGTGCATTAGCCTAATAACACTGTGCAGTAGGCTACTAACACGGTTTTTGCTGGCTAACAAGGCCTGCGCAATAAGCATCTCATGTAGACATGCCCACAGTGCCGGAAATCAGGAGCATGTTCCACTGAAGTCAGTAGAGCTGGGCTGATAAAACCCTGGTGTGAGATGAAGAGATCAGGACCACTTAAAGAAGAGGAGAAAGAGCCAGATGCTCAAATTGCTTTATATCGGGTGGGGGGGGCGTTAAACGCACCCAGTGCCCCAAGCCAGAGCATTTCAAACATTTTTCTGCAGAGCAGCGTGGGGGGGCGTGTAGCAGTACAGTTTGCTCATTCATCACTCATTGTTTTCCTTCTTCCCAACCCTATTTTGACTTTGCACACCCACGCACCACATCAGCCATTACACAGCAAAGGCACAAGCAACAAACTTCCTCTGAGTGGGTGGGTTTTGCTGCCCTGCCAAACAACTTATGCACAAACAAACAACAAAAGTCGCCTTCTTGACAGCTCGGAATTTACTTGCTGGAGATAAATTCCAGCCGAGTGGAGATTCTCCAGGCCATATGTGCTCCTATAGAGCAAGGACCACGTTCTCTGCTAGTAGAAAGCAATGCAGCTCTATTACCATCAACTACTGATCTTATAAGATACCAAGATATCCCATCTGAGATCACTGGTGAGGCTAGGCCCTAAAAAACCTGCAGCAAGAGATGGTGCCTGCTCCGAAGAATTGACAGTCTAAGTAGACAAGACAGAAAAAAGAGTGGAAAGGCACAGAGAAGTTAAGTGACTTGTCCAAAGTCACTCTCTGGGCATTCCCTGACGCCCACACCCATCCATCTTCTCTGAACTGAAGTCCATGGACAGCTGCAGATTTCCAGAAGCAGAGAATTTTGCCGTGATCCTCTCAAGTCCTTTACGACTTCATGGAGCAGACAGGTGGCAAAGAGAACTGAAGGGGGAGCAGCCCAAGCTGGGAGTCCAAAACATATATTTGAGAGCATCTCTTGACAGTCTCCACCACAACCAAAAAGCCCTGACTAGTTGTTTTCCATTAGGAAACTAAAAATAAAGCTCACAGGTACCCTGGAAGAGCAGAGGATGGCTGTGCTGCTTTCCTCCTGGGCAAGGAGAAGTCATATGCTAGCTGAAAAGTGATACGCACAGAATCGCAGTATGTAAAAGCCTATAGGGAACAGGATCGGTTACTGAAATGTCTTTTTGTTTCCAATCAGAGGTACACAAGATGAACAGCACTCATCTGACAACAAACAGCTACAGTACGCACAAGGAGCACATGAGGTTAACATTTCAGAGTACCGAGGACAGGTGAAGTCACCGTGAGCAGATCGTACGTGGTACGCGGCAGAAAATGCATCTCCTTATGCAGTGCAGGAAGAAGGTGTTTTGTTAGCTAAAGTGGACAGGGTGGAGGAATCTAGCAACGTGTTTACCCTTCGGAAAGGATGGGTTGTCTGTCAGCACTCGCTGCATGATGGCAGTTTCTTCTTGACGCCAAGGTAAAGCTGAGTAGGTGAAGGAATGGCACTGCGTGGCGGCAGGTCGCTTTTAGTGTGGAGAATGTATTTTCCCATTTGATGTTCAAGAGAAGAATTTTTCCCTTTGCTGACACAAATTCACTGCAAAAAATAAGAGGAAAAAGGAACAAAAGGGTCAGAAACAGACAACGGGGATTGTTCTTGCTCCTCCAGAGGCGAGGAGCCCGAGTTTTGCCAAATCCGAGGACCGTTGAAACTTTCATAGAATCACAGAAAATGAGGGTTGGAAGGGACCTCAGGAGGTCACGTGTAATCCAACCCCCTGGTCAAAGCAGGGCCATCCCCAATATGTAAAGAGAGGACCTGATCCAAGACCACCTAGAGTCTTTCAGCTGACTGCAACAGGTTTTGGACTTGGCCTTTGCCAAGGAGCTGGACCGACAGCTGTGAGAATAAATGACCGGCTCATTCACAGGTGCTTAGAGGCCCCACCAGTGTCACAGCAAGGGGGTTGTTAGCTCCAAGTATGCAAATATCGTAAGTGAGGATGTTTAAAGAAGCAGCAGCTGTCAGGAGACTGGCTCAGGTGTTTGGTACATGACTCCGTAGAGTTCATGTTCCTAAGCTCCTCTCCCCAAACAGGAGGGCCAGGAATTTTCTAATGAAAGCTTATAGGTGGTATAAACTCCATGTTTCTGTACACAAACCTCTATCCACATCTACAGAAGTTTCTTGGAAAACTTTTCTTTTCCAATTCTGGTGAATAAACAGCAAAGGCACCCTTAGTTTTACTGTAAAAAATCCCAAGCACATGTATTTAAAAAAAACAAGGCAATGGCTAAAATAGCTGAACTTGAAAGAATGAGACCTACTGGCATTCAGAGCATATTCTCCCAAAATGGAGTGGTGGAAGCTCGTGGGAAACATTTAAAATTACTATATTTTTAAGGAAAATTAGGTAAAGGGTGGGGGATGGGGGAGAGAATGAACCGACTAAAAGATGCCTTATGTCTTTATCACCGGTTTTTACAATTTATTGTTGTCCCATCAGACAATAGCCTTGAGGGTTCAAGATAACTTTTCAATCAAAGCTTTAACAAACAGTGCACTTATCCAGGGTTAATTGTTCTCTAAAGATACATGTTTTACCAAAACATTCTGGGTAGCTTTAAACACTCACCTTTTTTACAAGTTCGTTATGTCTAATTCCTGCTAGTGACTCTATATAGAAAGAAAAAAAAGCAGAGCTCAGTTTTTTTTCCCCAACAAATGAAGAGGACAATGTACAATAGCAACTCTTACTGTGCACCTCATTTCTTACTTTCTTAAATGCATCTAAGAGAGTCCCAAACAGGCTGGAACAAAGGTCAGGCGTTAGCTTCACATCAGTAGTAACAGAGCAGGCAAAAACCGGTACTAGCACTTGGGAGTTTGGCTTAAGCTCCCATAGAGAAAATGATTCCTAATGTCTGGATTTGGAGGAGTTTTATCAAATACCCTGCAGATTTTTCCAAGGGGAAATGACACAGGAGCTTGTTCCCCCCTACGCCTCCCCACAAGCGGTATTCTACCATTTTGCAGAAATAAGCCACTGGACGTCATAAGAAACAATCACTTCTATTTAAGCCTGTCGCTTGTCACAACTGGCACTTTTGATGCCAGGGTCTCCCTTGATATAAATGGCATTTGGGATCCTGATGCTGGGAACTCACTGTAGAAGACAATATGCATGTGCTAGTGTGGGGGTGGCGAGGGGCTTATAGTCAAAACTCTTCTCAATTTTACATGCCCAACTCTGTTCTTCTCTTTTGGAACGAGCAGACAGCCCCAGGACCTTGTGGAGGCCCCATGCCCTCTCATCCCTCCATAGACAGCCCCGAGTGGTGGCCGCATGCCCTCCCTTCTCTGCCTGCGGGTGGGCACGGAGGCAAAGTGCTCTGCCGGACAGAGGACTGCACTCTCTGCTCTGCTACAACAGCACTGTGTTGTAGAAAATTCCCTTTGCAATTGGGAACTCCCTGCTGCCTCCCGTATCAACTGCCCTCTCGCATCTAGCTTGACCGAGTACGTCCAAGTTTTCCAGGGAGCAGCATAAGGATTCAGATGGGCTGGAGCGGCACTGTACCAAATTCTCCGCCAGGTGGAGCTGCACTATACCTGATGATGCACTAATAGGATCAAGTAGAAAGTTTGCATCAGCTGAGGAAGCCAAAGGCTGGTCTGACTTCTGATGGGTCCAGGTGGCAGAAGATCTACATGGGGAAGCAGTCACCTCTCAGTAGCTACTACTCCCTAAAAACACAGCTGAGGCAGATCAGAGAATGGGGACCGTAACAGGCAGAGCGTGCACAGTGCTTAGTGCCTTATCTAGTTACAACAACATACACGTACCGTGCTGGAACTGGAATGGCTAAGCTTATCGAAGCGAAACTTTAGATTTGACCTTGGAGAGTTTCTGCTCTTTATATCTGTCGGAAGAATTCAATAAAACAGTATTTGTTTAAGCTAATATTGATTACAGCTAAGCCAACCTGACAAGCCAGTCAGTGTAATGGAGTCCCACAAACCTTACCAATATTCAGTTCATTTTTGCTAAATGTTTGGCAAAATCGCGACATTAGCTGCACGCCTTTGATGAGGTGGAGTGACACTTCCGTGCCATAACGTTTGGAATAGCAATCACTCAGAAAAGACTCATCTATAAAAATTACAGGGGAGTTTCAATTTGTTGGGAGGCCACATGTGAAATGGAAATTTTAAAACATGAGAAGTCACTGTGTGAATACTCCTGGGAAAAAAGAATCACTGAAAAAAACAAGGAAGAGGGTTTGTACAGCAAGCAGAACAAGGGGCAGAGCTATAGAAGAAGTCTAGATTTAATTTTTATTCATATTTTTCCAGCTCCACTTTTAGTTCCCCAGCTGTTCCCAGTTCCTAATTCATCAAAGAATAACTAATTTAGCTGGCTATTTCAGAAATAACTGGAACGCAACGTATCATTTCAATTACAAATCAATGTAAGCAAGGCAGAATCACGTCCAAAGGAAATGTCTTGATCACTGGTTTTATTCCGATTCGCAGTATTTGCCACAGGATCACTAAGTTTCCTACCCAGCGTAAATCTCAGAAAGAGTTGCCAAATTGGGCTCAGTTTTGGACCTCTCACACAGATTAAATCATACACACTCGTGTGAGTTATCCTACTGATTTCAGTAGGCTTTTGCTACCAGAATTTAAGCAGCAATGGCTGGTGATACGGCGTTCACTAAAGATTAATGACTGGTTGGGTACAGAAGTTGGCATGAAGGGTCATTAACCCCAGATAAGTGCAGGACTGTGGTTGGGGCAAGATTAATAATTTATATATAAGCTTTTTCTGTTGCTTTGTGGGCTACATTTTGATGCTACACCCACAGAGCTATGGCTGAGCTACATGGTATCTGTTGGCAGTGACATAATGACTTACATCTTCACAGAAGGAAGATCATTTCTCAAAGCTTCAATGGGCTGAAGGAAAAAAAAGGAGGTAACAGACCTCCGTAGACACTAGTGGTGCCCGATTCTGGTTCTGAAGTATAAGGGAAGACCCATGTCAGCGCTGAAAGGTATTTCTTGGAGGAGTCCAATGGAAACCATTTCCCGTGGAATGATTTCTTCTTAGAGAACAAAGTGGAGCCAAAAAAACCCTGCTTTGTTTCCTGTAGGAAAGGCTTTTTCCACTAGTATGTATGTAGTAATTCACTGGGTGCGATGACCCTTATTGCTCGAGACTCTCACATGCTACGCACCTGTGGGACTCCGGCTCATGATCACGGGGGTGGCAGCAGCTGCCACACTTGGGTTCTCGTTGCTGGGAGAAGAGCTGTAGACAAACACGTCCTGCTTGAACGGTGATGCTGTGGATGGTTGGCTGCCCTGGGGGTAAGATTGAGCAAATGCATAACCACAGAGCACTCATCAAGGGTGTTCCTATTTATATTCCACTGCATCTGCGCTCATCAGAGAGCCCCATCTGAGTGCCAAGGTGGGAACAGTTGGAGCAAACTTCCTTGGCAGGCTGCTGGGGCTCAGATGTGCCCTGCTCTGTCCCACGATGCACAATAAGGACTTTTTCTACACATTGGCCCTAATTCTCTCACTTACAAAGGTGCGAAACAGGAGTTAACTAATATCAGTGAGGATAAACCAGGGTGAGTGACCCAGCTGTGCAGCACTCATTCCTCTGAACAGTCCTGAGGTTCAAGGTGAAGAAAGGCTCCAGAACTTGGCCTATAGCCTTTCGTTGGGCTTTCAAAAGAGTCTTTAGATTACTGTTAGCCCCTGAGTCTCGTGATCAAACAGAGCAGCGACAATAACACATGGCTACAGATACGAGAAGCCAGATTCTAGTCCACCTAGAAAGTGTGCGATTGAATGTAGGCACCTAAGTACAACCTTAATCCACCCTGCTCAAGCTCCCCAAAACCTGTTAATACAGGCTCCCTCCTTGTTGCAGTTTTGCGACTCAGTCTTAGGGGTCAGATGTCACAAAAAGTAGATGCAGCAATGGATTTTCAGGGATTTGAACAGGACTGATAGAGTCATGCTCAGACCCCTAAGTCCGCTTAGCTGACCAACAAGTGAAACAGCATCTGGCCCTAGAGCATAACACCACCCAGTGCTGTAAGACTGCTGATCGTAGTCAGAAGAGCTCACTGTAGTTTGGGCTCAGGTGCTGTTTTCCCTCCTCCGTACTTCAGTTCTCTCATCAGTAAAATGAGGACAATGACACAGGCATTTGCAGCACAGTGCAAAGCGATGCAGACTCTTGAGTTAGCTCAGCTACACAGCAGGGTACATTAGTCCATGTGGAATTTAAGACAATACAGCTTCCTCAACCCGATCTAGCTTACGTAGCTATGTGGAAATGCCTTGCATTGCATGATCCCATGGTAAAAAGTCCAATATAAAAAAAAATGCACAGACGGACACAGAGAGAAGTGACACCAATTGCTCCCTTAGCTATTACTGGCAAGATTTCCACTTTTAGCTGCAACATGCAACTAGCTATAGGATTTTGTACCTGACCATAAGAATTTGCATTATACAGTCATTATTTTGTTGGTATATAGATTTTACTCTATGTCCTTCAACTCACGGCCCTTCATGTTACTCCACAGAAGACCACGGGCTGATTTCTGGAGTTTGGGAGAAAACTGCCACGGATTTTTTCACTCTGTGAGCATGGCCTACCTTGAGCAGGCAGCTGAGCTACGTAACATCCAGCAGTTCCTTCCAGCCCTATTATCTTCTCTAAAGGAAACATATAAAAGCATGGTGCCCACAGATAAGTGGAAGACTCCGTGCAGTAGAAGCAATGACATGAGACCCCACCAGTTTAAATAAGGAGTCTCTTCACCAGAGTCACAGCTATAAGATCAAAGATAAGTTCCCCTAGGTATAATTATTTCATTTCATTGCCTACCACACTATCATATTCTTCCATGGTTTCGCTCTCCCCTGCTGTACTGCTGAAACTGCTGGTGCTTGATGAAGAACGGGAGATGTTGGACCTTCCATTTTCTTTCAGTTTAATAAATGGCCTAGAAAGCAAACAAGGCAACAGCAATTAATTACAGCAGTATCCCCTAATATTAAAGTCAAGGGGATACATTCATCTTTCCTACAACTCCATTGACTTACATGGGGGATGAGTTTGCCGTGGCACCTCCATCCATTTAAAAACCCCACATGGTAAAGCAACCAGTAAATACGACTAACAGGAAAAAAAGACCAAGTTAATTCCCCGGGTGGTAAAAAGAACACTAAGTCTCTCTGCATTGATTTCCCTTCCATTTTCAACAGCCCCCTACTATCCTCACCTCTAGACGTCCTGCAGGAATTGCCAATATGCTACAGCTATTTTATATTTCAGCTCTGGTCTTCTGGACAATTTCTGCAAAATACCATTTGTTTTTAATAAGAGTTTATGGAATTATAGGTATTTTTACGCAAGCAAGCATGAATCACTGATGGTATCATCCTCACCAGCTAAGTGTTATTTAAAGTAAGACACAATATTAGGTTTGCTGTGAGTCAAATAAGAGCATAGTCTCCTCTCCTGCTTGGTTGTCTGCAGGCTGCCTACTGACCTGTATGAGTCTGAACTCCAGGGTGAAAGGATGAAGTAATGAATCTGCTCTTTCTCCATTTACCTCTCTTTGTTGGGGCATATTTCAGGAGAACTAGGGTTAGATGAGGGTTCAGATTTCATCTCTTGAGAAGAATGTCCCCCGTCTGGGGTCTTCTGTGTCCCTGAGACACTGTCACTGAAAAGAAAAGTACTGAATGAATGAATGAATGATTAGATGAATTCTAGAAATAATTGGCTATTTCTGCTCCCTGTCACACCACAATAAATGCATTAGACCAATAAATGCTTTCTCAGTTGCACCAAATGGTCTGAAACCAGTCCAAGAGGGACCAAGAAATCTGGCATTTAGTAAGCATCAGGGGGAGATCATTTCCTATTGTAATAATTAGCTGAAAAGGAAAGTCTGTCACTGTCAAATGTTGGTCAAACTGGTTTAAGTGGGTGACTGACTTCTCACTGAGGGTAGTGAACAGTAGTCATGTTCACTCCCCAATTTTGGAAAAGGTTGGTGATGGCTGAAACTTTGAGTCAAATTTTGGCAGCTCACCTTTGGCTACACAGATAAGTGCTCCTTTTGGGATTAGCAAGAGGTCTTAGCAATGTATTGGCCTTCTTAAACTAAGAAAAGAGATCAGGGATGATGTGCTAGCCAAGAGGTATCATCTGTATGTAGATGATACCCATAAGCCGAATGTTATCAACAGGCTCTGTGGGCTTGGCCCAGTCATGCCAGGGTTGAACATTATCAACCATGAGAGGGGCACATAAGGTCAGCTCTGATCAACTCTCTGAACTTAAAAGGTGTCTATCCTTGGCGCACAGACATGGTAGCAACCATATTCTCTTTTCCAATTTAAGGCCAGGACTTTCTTGGATTAAAAACAACTACTGATGCAGCGTGGCATTTACCATCGCGTCCTGCTCTCTGATTGACTTTCAGATCCCGTGTGCAGGCGGGGGAACAACCCTGAACGTCGCTTAATAGGACTCCTGGACTGGTTCTTGGCTGTTGCTGCTGCAACAGGAGGCTGAAAAACAAACCAGGCCAAATTAAAAAGATCAAGATCTTCTCAACAATCTCTATTCATTTGCAGCCACCATGGCAACTGCTCAAGACAACTGTTTCCAGGTATGTGACTCTCCTTCAGCTTAGAGTTCTACAAAATATTTAATGCCACTATAAAGAAAAAAAGATGCCTTGGGGTTGAAAATCTGAGAGCATAATCTTAAAATCATCCCCCCCCCTCCACCCCAAAGACAATGACATTAAGTGTGGTTGAAAACAAACAAAGCATTTGTCACCCAAATCCAGTCCTTATCCTCTGACATGCAACTGCCTGGAAAATTTCTGGATCACAATGTGTTGTCATAGTCTTATCATCAGCATTCAAGAATATTAATGCACCTATTAGTAAGTCTGCCCATACACAGTTATAGGGAGCAGTATAAGCAAAGATGAAAATAGGGCACGATCAGCCCACGTGAAAGGAGCTGGACCCTGGAAGACAAATCATGCAGGGTAGTGAAAAGGGGCAAACTAAGTTTAAGCAGCTATTATTTTATTATTTAAATCTTATTGTGCAAATCAATTAATTAATTTATTTACTAAAAATTAGGGCTACACCAGGAAAAAAATCCAAGAAAAAAATTCACAATGGTATTTAGATGCCTTAAGATGCAAGTAAGGGACAGTGAGATTCACATAAGATGCCTATGTGAGTTAGGTACCTAGCTCATTGACTGTAAAGGCATCTTAACCTTTGTGAATCAGGACTGATATCTGGGTATGCCATACTCACCGAGAAAGTGGTCTTTGTTATTTCCCCACTGTTGTGTGCGATTCCCCCGCTCAGGCTCCCTGGGATCCCTCCACTGTGATGCTTCTTCTGGCTCCCCACCATGGTTTCCATCGAATGACTGCGGACACGAATCGCTCTCTGCAGGCAAGTTAATGTGAGTGTGATATATGCTGTCAAATGGTTTGCCCTGAGGACAGAAAGGCTTTCTCTACCCAGGCTAACAAGTGGCAAGAGGAACAACATTTGCTAGAACAGTTAACCAATCCAGCACTCTTCGTTGGGTACATTTCGAAATGGTCTGGAACGATTCAGACACACAAGAAATGTTGTTTAGTGACTGTAAAGCTACAACTTGTAGTGCGTTCTAAATCCTTGAGAAATAAAGATAATGCTACCAGGGCACATAGAGACAGCCACATGACATTTCATTTCTAACAAAAGGATACTTCATTTTTTTAATTCTGTATTTAATAATGATGGCTTGATCCTTGTATGCATTGAATACTGGCAAATGTCCAGGACAGCTGTACATGAAGAAAAATCAGGCCTTGGTTCTCCTCTTTTTCCTTCGGATTTTAGTGCTGACTGGACTGCGATACGGAGGCTTCCAGTGCAACCTCTTGAGTACAAACCAGAGATGGCAAGGCTGAGCTGAATTCTGCTTTCCCCAGCTGGAAACAGGAGACGCTGCGTTTTAGCCTACTGCAAAGCAACACCCGTTGGCCTCCAGTGTTCTTTCCAAAATGCAAATGGAAAAAGAGGAAAGCCAGGATCTGAGGTTTTTAACACAAATCAAATCAGGAGAGGGGATAAAATGATTTCACGCACTTTGGCCCAAATTTTCAAAAAAGCTAACTATGACAACTCAGGTCAGATTTTCAGAAGAGTTAAGCCTCTTGGATGTGGAGACCTTTGCAAAAATCCAGATTCTTCTTTCGGGCCCTTGAAGGGGAACTGGGCAGGTCTTGGAAAAATAATCTTGGTCTATATTATGAACATAGAGCTCTACTGAAAATCCATGGCATGTCAGACAGAGCAATAAAAGGCAGCATTTTCTATTTACTCTACTTGCTCTATTTAAGAATATTACAGTAACAACCAAGTGTCAATCATATCATGGGCTACATGCTCTAAAATATCTGCTTTGCAGTTGATTACAGCAGTGTTGCAGGCTGTAATGATGTCACTCCCTAATGACTTCAGTGCTAGCGACAAATAGCCCCATCCGTACGGTATCACATCTCGCAGTTCATCTTGCAGACAGACCCAAGCTAGCTTTAAACGAGCTACTTCAGCTATTGCTAGCCGTGTAGCTGTGCTGACATACAGCTCCACAAAGGTTTCTTATCTTCTTGGCCATGTTTTGCAGCTGGCACTGACTTCCAAGAACCAAAAGCAGATTACTTGCATCTAGAAATACCTACAATGCCCACTGCTAGATTGCTAAACTGCCTGCTGGTACTTTGTTTTTTTAAACCAGTAGATGTCAGCTCAGACCAAAGAAATGACTTGACTATAGTACAGCCACGATTTAACCACAACCTCCTCCTGCCCTCAAAATTAATCCAGACAAAAACGTAAATTTGTAACATTAGATTTATTATGATTGGCATTGATGTGTATATTGAAAAAAGAATAATACCGGAAAAAAATAATTAATTTATTTTTACTACCCATGTCTACTCAGGACTTCCTGGAATTGTGTAGACTAGCATTTTTTCCCAGAATTTATTTTTGAGATTTGACACATCTTGCAAAGGCTTAAATATGTACAATCTTTTTCCTTTACACGTGGTGAGGAGTCCCTATGTCTTCAGTGAAATGGCTCGTTTTTCCATAACATCAAGCACATGTTTAGTCCTCTGCAGGATTCAGGCCTGAAAATCTGTGGTCTTTTCGCCTCTGAATTTGTGACAGATCAACATGCATCATTATCTGTGTACCTGGATGAAAATTATGCTCTTTCTCTCTGACGGTGAATCTGCATAAGCCATAGTTCATACAAATAAACAGTCATTCACACATTAAAATCTGATTTTTGCCTTTTTTTTTTTAATCCTTATGACTTTAATTCTAAAAAAAAAAAAAAAAAAAAAAAAGTTCCCCAGTTTCCAAACTTCTGCACGTACCGGGTGGTGTGTCATGAAATGGAAGGTGGTTCATAATGGGCAGGACTATCACAGAGGGGT